TTTTGTATTGGAAACCAACTAATGCAGTTAAGTTTCAGGCCTCTAACAATGGAAATAGCTAAAAGTAGACTAATATATGACAAACCTCTGGAAATCCACAAGTTTTTAAAAATGATTTTTTTTTAGAATTACTTTTAAGTGTCTTTACAATTGCTACTTTAATAAATATTTGATCTTAAATATTATTTTTCTCTCTCCCCACCCGTAGGTACCCTCCTTTGACTTTCTGTCTGAGAAACTCCAGTTTTACCAGAGACAGTTCAATGAAATCATCAGGGGGACATCTCTAGATATGGTGTTTTTTAAAGACGCAATGACTCATCTGATCAAGGTTCTAACTATTAACTATTCACTGGAATAAGTAGATCGTATAAAAGCTTAGTACATTTCATAGGTAAACTTTTTGAGAGACTAAGTGTATACTATCAGGGAGCATACAGAAGACTGTATATAAGTTGTCCCAGAAAACGAAGGCTTAATATTGGATCTACCTGCATGACAGCTAATGTTTTTCAAGGGCGAATTGATGGTTTTTATGTGCATAGCACACTGAGTCAGAGTTTCACATTCCTAGAAAGGAAGCTAGAGGATCCTGTGAAGAAATACACCCTCCTCAAATTGTATTTCAACCCTGTGGGAATCTCGTTGCCTGTGGAGGAAAAGATGTTGCTTTAAAAAGTGTCAATTTCATGATCGGCTTACAGATTGTGAACCAACTGTTGGGGAAAGGGTAAGGCAGGCATACAGGACTGGTGAGAAAATAGAAGCCAGTCAGAGGTATCACAAAAAGGAGCATGGTTTGGTCCAACTCTGAAGGGCTGCAGAAAGGAGTTGTTTACTTATGTAATTGGTTGATGGAAAAGGAGTTTCCCCAGGAAGTGACAGCATGGCGTAGGGAGATTTGATAAATAGAAGTCAGTTAGCTCTGTATTTACTGCATGGTCTTCTTCTGCAAAGTTGGTGAAATTCCAGATGTCCTAGGGCTGTTTTCACACTCATCCATTAACAGGTAATTATTGAGCACACACTATGGCTAGGTATTCTGGATCTGGGGGCCTGAGACCTTGTTCTAGGTGCAAAACCATAAGTCATTAACATATTTTAAAATATAATAGTAGAATTAATACACACCAATGTGTTGTTATTGATCTGCCACCTATAAAACTTGCATTAAAAAAATTATTTCTAGTGATGATAATGGATTTAGTGATCCATTTAGACTTTCTTCCTAATCAGGGATGATAATGTAAAAGATAGCTTTTTAGCAATATCTTCAGTTGGCCTGCCCGTAAGGTTTGAACTACAATTTAAGTCTTATCCTCACTCAAGAAATCAACCATAGAAAAGCAACACAAGATTAAACGCTGTCTCTCCAAGTCTGTTTCTACAAAGGATCTCCCATGCCCGTTGGAAATAGAATTTTGGTACTTAAAAAAATGTCTTTGGCAGAGATATGGTAGAGATAGTATTCGTTGTAGAGCTGGGTGTCTACATGATTTAGTGTGATGGACCGATGAGTAATAAGCAAACGATCCTAAACTTTTCTTACATCTTCAGTGGACTGGGAAGAGGAGTTCTACTATCCTTGAGTCTAAAGATAGTAAAATTACACATACACAGAATAGTTCTGAAATAGAAGGGACTAAAGTCAATATGTTCTATTTTTCATGGTGTAAATATAGATGGACAAGGAAAGAATTTGAGTTGAATAAATTAATATAGCAGTTTAAGTTTAATTTTTAAAATTCGGAGGTAGACAATTACAAGGAGAAAGGCTAATGTAGTCTGGAAACATACGGTCAAACCTCAGACCATTTGGTGCAAGAGAATGTAAACTTTGCGCCCTGTTTTCAAATAAACACTATTTATTTCAAAACAGATTTCACGAATAATTCGAACGTCATGTGGAAATGCCTTGTTGGTGGGTGTTGGTGGCTCGGGAAAACAAAGTCTCTCAAGGTTGGCCTCTTTTATAGCTGGATATCAAATATTCCAGATAACATTAACCAGGTAGGATAAAATAAAACATGACAATATGTTTTTCCATAGTTTTTCTGAAGTTAAATGTTTAAAAAAACACAACAATTTGGTCTATTTCTTTTTAAAATAAACTTTTAATTTAAGTATCCCATCTATAAGGAAATGTACGTGAATCATGGGTGTTACAAAGAACATACCCCTATGTCGTCAGCCCACAAACGAAGAAATGAAACACGACTTGCACCCAGGGGTGCCCACATGTCATGTCTCAGTCATCGCCCTCCCAAGAGTAACCATATTCTGACTCCTGAGCACGCTGATTCGTTTGACCTAGTTTTGAAGTTTATGTCAATGGACTCATACGGGATTCGCTCTTTTGCACCCCGTTTCTATTCTTGCACCATGTTTGGGAGAGTCATCCGTGATGCTACATGTAGCAATAGTTTATTCCCACATTACCACAATTTACTTATCCATTGTACTGTTTTCGCAAATAGAGCTGCTATGAATATTCTTACACATGTCTGGGTGTACCCCTAGAAGTAAAATTCCCAGGTATAGAGTTTGCAGATATTCATCTTCAGTGGATCTGCAAAGTCACGTTCCAAAGCGGGGGTTCTGGTTTACAATTCTGCCAACAGGTCATGAGAGTTTCAGTTGCTCTGCATCCTGGCCCACCCGGGGCACTGTGAGTCTTTTTTATCTTAGCAGTGCTGGTGGTATGTGGTGGTATCTCATGTGGCTTCAGTTTGCGTTTCCCAGACGACTAATAACGTTGAGCATCTTTTCATCTCTCATTGGCTGTTTGGGTAGCCTCTTTTGTGAAATACCTGCTTAATTAAGCCCTTGCCCATTTTTTCCCAATTGGGTTGTGATTCTGTCTCTTATTGATTATTAGGAATTCTTTATGTATTTTGGATGTAATTCCTTTGTCAGAGTGTGTATTGCAAATGTCTTCTCCCAGTTATTGATTTGCCTTTTTACTTTCTTAGTGAATCTTAATTTTAATGAAACCTAATTTATCATTTTTTTCCCTTCATGTTTAGTATTCTTGTATTCTGTTTAAAAATCTTTGCCCCAAGGTCACAAAGATGTGCTCCCATGATTTCCTTCCCATTTACAAATAAAATGTACTGCTTTCACAATTAGAACTATAATCCACCTAAAATTTAATTTCTTATAAAGTCTAAGGTAGTAGTTGAGATTATTATTTCCAATATAGATATCCAGTTGATTCAACTCCATTTATTAAAAAGGTCATCTTTTCCCTGCCACACAACAATGTCATTTTTTGTCATAAGTCATCTGATCATATATGTGACTGTAGTCCATTCTACTGGTTTATTTATCTGTCTTTGTACCATTACTCACTGTTTTAGTTACTGTACCTTTTTAAATATGTGTATATATTTAATATTGTTATATTTGGTGTGTCAGGTCTTCAAGTTTATTGTTCCTCTTCATGATTGTCTTGACTATTTGGCTTGTTTATTTCCACATGAATTTTAGATCAATTTGCCAGTTTACCCACACACATACACACTCCACTCTGCTGCCAAACAAATGGGAAATAAAAATTTAACAAGATGCAACTTACAAGAGCATTTAAAAAACATAAAACATCATATACCTAGAGATTAGTTAAATTAAATTTAAAAAATCTAATTAGTTGTCAACGTTTAAATATTGGAGGTTTCACATTTTAAAAAAACATTTTTCTGACTTCTCTTGAAATAATTGGAAGATCTGCCAACACAGGGCCTGCATTCCCAGATGGCCAGAGCTGAGCAGCAGCTGCCTCCTTAGATGGGGCGTGCAATCCTCCAGTTTCCAGAGGCCCCCCAGTCCTGCTTCACTCATTGTCATTATCTGCTGATTCCTGTAGGTATCTGAATGTGTGACGCTGGGGCAGGTGATGTTGCAGTCATTGTAGTTAGAAATAACAGAAGCTTAAATTAAGGCAGATGTGTTCATTATATTCTCTAACTTTCTGTATTCTTTTTTTTCTTTTTCTTTTTTGCTGTGTTGCTCAGGCTGGCCTTGAACTCCTAAGCTCAAGCCAATCCTCCTGCCTCAGCCTCTGCAGTAGCTGGGACTACAGGCCAGCAACACCACACCAGGCATTTTCTGTATTCTTGATGCTCTGGCATGTGGAGCCCTGCTGACTAGGGAGAGACTTAGGCATCCAGGCTAGGCAGTTAGAGATTCAAACGACTTGTCCAGGAGCACACCTTTCATATGCAAACCAACTAATCCAGAGAGGCTGCAACCTCTAAGAGGGGTGTATTATGACTGTTATGTATTATTATGTATTGCAAAAGCAATACATAATAGTTGGTCTAATTATTTGAAAAATCTGCAAAAATGGTTATGTGACTTCATTGGCTGATTGATTCAGAGACTGGCCACTGAGAGGATTACTCCGACAGCACCAGGCCACCAGGTCTTTGTGGTTCCACTGCCCATCATCGTTCCATCAGGCCCTACGCTTTCACTAAACTCCCTATGACTTGCACTGTAGCACCTCTTCAAGTGAGGGTTTCCTGGTTGTCCTTGTCATTAACTTGCCCGTGAAGATTTAGATACAACACTTCAGAAGATGTCTGCGTTATTTTTATACGTCACATCACCTCTGGTAGCACACGCATTTAATAGGAAACAGAGTAAACAGAAAAACAAAGGCCTAGAACTTCTCTTTTCATAATATATAACCACCTGATTTTAACATTTCTATTATTTATACCACATTACGTAATGCATCTTTTCCTGTAGGCTTTCTCTGTATCTAGCTACTTAATGAGCTGTGCAAATTGTCACTATATATAACTAATTTTGTTATATATAACTAACTACATATAACTAACCATATCACTGATTTTGTTCACAATTTATTGTGATTTTTTCACCAAACCAAACTCATCCAAATTTCAGGTTTTAGATATTGTACATATAATCACTTGGGCAAAATCTGTTGCTGAGGACTCTGAGATTGCAGAGACTAAAAGTTCATTTTCCTATTCCCAGTCATGCTTCATGGATCATTTCTAGTAATTCCCTATTTCTCCCTTCTCAATTTAAATAAAACATTGGTTTTTACTGGCAGCATATAGTTCTTTAGCTCTAATCTCTGTGTTTTCTAGCAGGCACTATTAATATCTGTGGGAGCAGGTACAGATTATGCTTTAATTATCATAGGTTATTATTGTGCTTTGAGATAAATTATGACTATATATTTTCTAATTTTAAATTTTCTATCACTTCTCTTTTTAGGTCTTACAATGTGAATAATCTAACAGATGACTTAAAAGCTTTGTACAAAGTTGCTGGTGCTGAAGGAAAAGGCATCACCTTCATCTTTACCGACAATGAAATCAAAGATGAGGCATTTCTAGAATACCTTAACAACTTGCTATCTTCAGGGGAGGTAGGTCTCAAAAGTAGAGAAAAAGCTCATATTATAAAACTATAAATTGTATTTGAATAGAAAAGTCAGCAACCCTTCAGAAGCGAGGACATTTAGCACATGTTTGTGATTTTAGAAATGATTACCATATGAGATTCAGTAGATTTTTTGAAGTTCCTGTGAAATTAATGCTGCCCACCTCCAGATTTTTTGTATGCTTTGTTCAATTCTAAATATGGGTCCTCACTTGTCTCCTCGATCTTCCATTCTATCCCATAATTTATTTTAGGAGAAGCAAAGTATCTATATCTGTCTGTCTGTCTGTCTGTCTATCTATCTATCTACCTATCTACCTACCTACCTACCTACCTACCAGTCAAGAGTATGGTTTCTGTTAAAGGTTTCTGTTAGCTGTACAGGGATGTTTGCATCACAACTTCTGATACCACCTGTATCAGCACTTCCATGAGTGTTCACATGTTTGGTACTTTGTTAGAAGGCCTCACAGGACTCAGCATAAACAGGTTGAGCAACCCTATTCCAAAAATCTGAAATTCGAAATGCTCCAAAATGCAAAACATTTTGAGTGCCGACATGATGCTCAAAGGCAATGCTTATTGGAGCATTTTGGATTTCAGATTGTTGGATTTGGGATGCTCAACTCGTAAGTATATAATGCAAATATTCCAAAATCTGAAAAAATCCAAAGTCTGTAACACTTCTAGCCCCAAGCATTTTGAATAAGGGATACTCAACCTGTATTTGTACTCATGTCTAAGGTTTATTACAGCAACCCAGTAAGGATACATCGTGGGATCAGTAAAGAAAAAGACACATCATGTGGAGTCTGGAGGAATATCCATGGGCAGGCGTCTTGTGTTCTTACCAAGGGGCCATACGGAGCGTGCTCTCCCTCCAGTATGAAGTCTGGTGACATGTGCACCGTGTATCTGTTCAGGGAAGCCCATTTGAGATGCAGAGTCCAGTGGTTTTGTTTGAGGCTGGTCATGTAGTCACTGCCTGCCTAACTAGACACAACCGCCAACGTTCCAGATTCCTAAAAGGAGAGCAGGTGTTCACCGTATATCACAATGTGTATACACAGTGTAGCAGGCACAGCAAAACTGCCTTATCAATTAGTAATGGGGGAGACGTTCCAAAGGCCAAGTTCCCCGATGCCAGCCAAGGGCCAGGTCTGCAAGCACATCGTTCTCAAGATCAGGCCTGCTGTGTTAACTCTTCCCTGCACGGTGGTGTATACAGATGCTTAATGGTGCACAGGCTACTTAAATATTTTAGAGTCAGAGTTGAGAAGACTGACTATGAGTCAAAGAACAGAGGGCAAAACTGGGCATTTTAAAGAGGTGATTGAAATGGGGATAGCTCTTTGGTGATAGCTCTGTGAGCACAGGAAAACATAATTTGCTCTTGATTAAGCTGCTCAATAAAAAGTTGCACTCTTGGTAATCTCTGGCTAACCAAGGATTTGACCTGTGGAGATACAGAAAGAAAATATGAAACGAAATCACGTGAAAAAAGGGACTAGACTTCGGCAGTGAATTGGCCGTGGGGAACTCTTTTAAATACAGAACACTTCCTTGTCTGTTCCTCAAAGATATCCAATTTGTTTGCACGAGATGAGATGGATGAAATCACCCAAGGTCTGATATCGGTGATGAAAAGGGAGCTGCCTCGCCATCCTCCTACCTTTGATAATCTGTATGAGTACTTCATTTCCAGATCGAAGAAGAACTTGCATGTTGTTCTCTGCTTTTCTCCAGTGAGTTTTTATTTTTTTGTTTATATCCATGTACAAGGAGTTACTTATTTAAAGGTACTTAGTTTACCTTCTCTGATGAGATGATTTGCTCAGAAATTGATGTTTTTACATTGACTTAAAATTAATGAATACTTTTACTACTACCAATCTCCATCAACCAAAATCTCATTTCCAGTGTGATCATTTAAAATATTCATATTATTAGAAATTGTTGCATAACCTACAATTTTCATTAATCACCTAGAAACATGGATTATTTGAATTGTAAGGGATTTGGTGATGTAATCTCATCCAGCTCTGCTTCCAACATAGACATACCATATTTACTAGAATGTCCCTGATGTAGGTTTGAATACCTCTAGCTTGCTGTGCTGTCCAGTACAGTAGACATTGGTTGTACATGGCTATTTAAATTTTGAGTAACTAACATTAATTAAAAATAAAAATTCAATTCCTCAGTCCCACTAGCCCCATTTCCAGTGCTCAGTAGTAATGCGTGTCTAGTGGCTGCCACGCGGGAAAGCACACCCATAGAACATTTCCGTTATCGCTTAAACTTCTTTGGGTAGCTCTGCTCCAGGGGGGTCTCACTGATTTACAAGGCAGCCTGGTTCATTTTTAGATGTCTAATTGCCAGAAAGCTCTTGTTTGTAATCAACTGAATTTTGTCTGTCTGTGCTTTTCTCCTCTGATTCTGATTCTGCTCTGTAAAGAATCCAATCCCTCTTCCACATAAAGCTTGTCACATATTTGGAGAAAGCTTTTGCAGACTCCCTAAGTTGTTTTGTTTTTAGACCCAACATCTGTTCGTGCAGCTGTTCGCACCTGTCCTGGTGCCCAGGCCTCTCACTGTCCTGATCTCTCTCTGAAAGAGTTCCAGTTTGTCAGTTTCCTGTTGAAAGGCCGTTCCTAGAATCCAATGCAATAACGTATAATAGATGTAGTCCCGGGACAGGGAGGAGTGTGAAATATATTTCCTTTCTTCCTCTGAACACTAAATTTATATATTATTGCAGCCCAAGATTTTTAAAAAAATTTTTGATGTCACATTGTCAGCCCAGAATTTGTAAATCTCTCTCTAGCTGACTTACAATCCCTGTGTGTCTAATGCCTTGTGACTTTGCCATCAATAGGTTGGTGAGAAGTTTCGTGCCCGTTCTTTGAAGTTTCCCGGCTTGATCTCGGGTTGCACTATGGACTGGTTCAGTCGCTGGCCGAAGGAGGCTCTGATTGCTGTAGCCTCCTATTTCCTTTCAGGCTATAATATTGTCTGTTCTAGTGAAATTAAAAGACAAGTTGTAGAAACGATGGGACTCTTTCATGACATGGTTTCAGAGAGCTGTGAAAATTACTTCCAAAGGTAAGTGACATTACATAAGCACCATAGCTACCAAACCAGCAAGTACACTCCAAAGAGGAATTAAACGTAACATACAGGAAAGCTGTGGTCCCCAACCTCTGGGCCATGGATCGGTGGCTGGTTAGGAACCAGGCTGCACAGCAGGAGGTGAGCAGCAGGGAGCAAGTGAAGCTTCATCTGTATTTACAGCTGCTCCCCATCGCTCACATCACTACATAAGCTTAGGCCTACCGTCAGATCAGTGGCAGCATTAGATTCTCATAGGGGCTCGAACCCTACTGTAAACTATGCATGCGAGGGATCTAGGTATCTAGGTTGCTCCTTATGAGAATCCAATGCCTGACGATCTGAGATGGAGCTGAGGCAGTGATGCTAGCGCTGGGGAGCAGCTACAAATACAGATTATCGTTAGGAGAGAGGTTTCACTGCACAATAAATGTAATGTGCTTGAATCATCCAGATTCCACCCCTCTCCCTGACCCCCAGTCCCTGGAAAAATTGTCTTCTATGAAACTGGTCCTTGGTGCCAGAAGGGTTGGGGACCACTGCAATAAAAGACTCTTCATATTGATTGAGCATGAGGTCCCAGCTGCATTTAAATTTTTCTTGCTTTGATTTTGTAGTGATTATGAATTGAAAAGATGGCAAATAAATGAGATTTAAAAGTTAACCGGTATCCACACTTAAATACCAGGCCTCAAAGTAACAGATGCTTAATGAATTGCTTCATTTCATTTGTTTAATTTTAGTTTGGAAATGACTTAACTAATTCCTTAGAAACTGTTTAAAATTAGTTTCTTATTCAAATGCATTATTTATTTCGATGAAAGAAGTACATTGTTTTAAAGTTTCTTTATTGCCTTATGTTAAGGGAACATTGAGGTTTTGTATTACTTAGTCTTATCAATGTATTTGTGCCAAATAATTGTGAAACAAAATACGATAGGAAAACCACTCACTAAAAGCAGCGATGGTGTGTTCGTTATGTGCAAGCTGGTGTCAGCAGTTCAAGAACACAGCTTTCCCCCCACCCCCAAAGCATGATAGTCACTGAGTAAGACTGGCAGACCCACTGCCCGTGTGGATCTCCAAACAGTGGCTCCTCCCTTAGGGTTAGTGGGTGGGCTTCATGGGGTGCAGAAACTCCCAGAAAAGCTATGTCTGTTTTTCTGCATAGAGAGTTTTGGTAACACTGTCATTGATTTTCAAAGAGGTCCCTGGCTCTCAAAAGTTTGTTTATTCCAGACTCTTTTCTTTACTTAAAACCATACCCAGACTACCCCTCTTAAATAATTCTAGGTAATCTCCCAGATTGTCTTGGCGAATCAGTGTGTATTAATTCTTACTGTTGAGAAGATTTTCTTTCTACTTAACTTGAATTCCTCCTGCTCATGTCATCTGTGACATAAATTTTTACCTTTGTATAGCTACAGAAACCGGTTTCTTTATTTTTCAAAATTTTGGTGTGTTTTCCAAATTTTTCGTATCTTCTTAGGCTGTAGAAGTTTATTCTGAATGTAATATTTTTATAACACTTTAATGGTAGTCGCATATGTGCCCAAGTTTCTAAAAAAAAAAAACTTAAAAAATATTAAAAATCTTTAGAACTCCAAAAGTGAAAAATTAATGTGAAAGACAAAATAATTTTATAGTATGTGAAGAACTCTTCTTTGACTTGAGTTTCTTCTATATAAAATTATTTCTTTTGTCTACTTCTATCATTAAATATAATTACTATAATAAAGCCCACAATGGGTTGAACATTTGAATCAAGTGTGGCTTCCTTGATTTCAAGGCCAATTGGATGAATCAGGGGAGAGACTGGTTTTTGGTTTTCTCAGCCCACCCAGCTGGTATGTGGCAGGGAAGAGGTATGTAGAAAATACCAGTTGACTGAAAATAGATCACAGCACAAATTCATTTCAACTGCTTATTTCTAGTGTTTGTCTAGAACCTTAAAGTTTACAAAGTATGTTCATATATGCTATTTTATTTGAACTTCACCAAACTCCAGAAAGGGTAGGGCAGACAGTCTTCCCTCAGTTTTCCAGATAAGGAAACAGAAGCCCGGAGTCAGAGTAAAAGATCGAATCACCAGACGGAGATTTAGTGCTCTTTCCACCTCACCTCTGGGAAACCGTACGCAATTCCTGCCTTCCTGCTAGTGAAGCACTCTACAGAGTCACGCTGATTTCACATTGGGAAGGGTCATTTTATGGGAGTGTACTAGAATGATAGAAATGGTCACTTTTGTGTTCTACTTTCAGATACCGCCGAAGAGCACATGTGACTCCCAAATCTTATCTCTCATTTATAAATGGTTATAAAAACATTTATACTGAAAAGGTGAAATATATTAACGAACAAGCTGAACGTATGAATATTGGTAAGAAGAATGGGATCTTATCTTTTTAGGGTTTGTTTGATGGCGATTTCAATATTTTGTTTGGTGGATATTGTGTTTGAAAGCAAAATACTAATTTTATTGTTAGTACTGGATATGTTTAAGGGATGTCCTTAAGGGTCTTTTGAGCTGTCAAGAAACTCTGAGCAGAAGAAAATCTAAACAGTACTGGCCCATTTTTCCCAGCTCGTGTCCCCCATGCTGGGCAGTGAGTCACCATAGTCATGGAGTTGCTGCTTGCAGGTAGGGAGAAGACAGCCCTGGGGAACTGACTCCAATTTCAGTTTTCGGTTTCATTATGATTTGCCTTGATTTGTATAAACTTTTCCATGTTAATTTCTAATAAAGGAAATTTATTTCTAATAAAGGAAATCTAAATTTCTGATAAAGGAAATGGCAAAACGGAAACAAAAGCAAGTAAAAACAAAAAGAGATAGTTTACCTGAGCAGTAGTTTGCTGAGTGTCAGGCATATGTAGTACGTAGGTGGAAAAAGTCTACCTTGGAACAGATTGTATGTTCAGAAAGTATGTGGTCCAAACAGTCCAAAGCACCTCCGTTCTTTCTTTTCATTTCCCCTGGACAAAACGTGGTCACACACTATGACTGAACTCCAGGGTCTGTGCGGTGACAGTGATGATAGCAGCGCTGTGAAAGAAGCCTTCTCGTGAGGTTTTTCTCATGACCTTCTTGCAGCTTTTCTAAACGATGCGCTAGAATCAGTGGTGTGCCAACGCTGACTTCTACTGGCTCGTGAAAGCCAATTGTTACATTTTTAGGAGTTTTATGATCTGTTTGTTAAACATAGCCTTTATTAAAAAGTAAGCCATAAAAAAAAGTAAGCCATATATACCTAAAATTAAATAAGTTATATGTAAAATACAGGCAATAAATACTCAAAACTCATCACTTCTCAGTTATTTTTACTCTATTTGACTATTATTAATGTTCTTGAGGTTATTTCCATTCTATCTGGTGGAAATATGTAATGGGGAGCTACTGAGAATCTCTTGCTAGCTTGAAATAAGCCATGGTGGAAGCATTTACACTGTGGAAATTGGAAAATAACAAATGATGCCTCCCTTCCCCCAGAGACCCAGATGTTAAACATTTATCATCACACCACTAGCTAGAACCCAATTGAAACGTGAGAAATTCATTTAACCAGTTATTTCTCTCAGTAGCACTGAAAGTCACAGAGTCAGTTACATACATTTGAGCAGTTATTTTCATTTTTATAACAAAGAAAGCCACAAAAATGTTAATATGTTTTCAATCTCATTTGCTGTCCCAGCTGCAATATGATCAAAAAACGATAGCTACAAACTGTTTACAAAGCCAAAAAGAGCGTGACTTTGTCTAGTAAGCTTCCTGACTCATCTTATTCAACATGATATTGTGACTTTCCCTGAAGTGTTGCCAGATGATATTCTTCAGTCAAAGCTATTTTCTTTACCCCTCTTTGCTGAAACTCTGAAATATGGTCAGGATTGTTGCTCCTAAGATATGTATATTTTTGATGCTTTTGTCTATCACTAATTACCTTATACGTGTTAGATTACATATACAGTACCTTATAAGTAGTAAATATTGAGCAAGTATTTGATGACGGGATATCCATATACTCAGCAAGAGTATGTATATGTGTATTTCTAAAGGTCTTGATAAGCTCATGGAGGCAAGTGAATCCGTCGCTAAACTCTCTCAAGATCTTGCAGTAAAGGAGAAGGAATTGGCAGTGGCTTCTGTAAAAGCAGATGAAGTGAGTTTGCATTTATTTTATCACTACTGATGAGGAATACTTTTCCATACTAAGGAAGCATTATTTTGAAATGTTATTTAAAAATAAGCAGGGTATATAAACCAATACATAATTTCTGGTAAGATAATGTTCACAAAGACCATTAGATATTTTTGTTTAACTTATACCAAGACGTATCTAAGCTATTATATCTGCTACTTGGTCTAAGACTATTCTTTCTTCTCTTTCTTTGTCTCTCTCGTTCTCTTTCATCTGTTTATGAAATTTCTATATTTGGTCTTCTCTTTAAGGACCCTATAAGCTCTAGGTTTCTAGGATGGCCCAGGCCTCATGTAAAGTTTGTGTCTAGGAGAGAAAAGGATAAGAGAAAGAGTTTGATAGGGTTTAAAACAAAAAGAGAAAAGAAAGAAAAAAGATACTTCTCCCACGGTGATAGGCATAGAAGTGCGCTGCTCCCTTGTCTACAACCCGTCGGTTTCAGGCTGCTTGCAGCCACTGCGCACTGCCAGTCAGTCGAGAACAGACACTTAACCCTTGACCCTTACCCAGTCACTGAGATGAGTGCGATGACACAGGGGAGGCACTTAAGCACAGTCCTGGCGTAGGGTGAGCACTCAGTAAACACTGGCTACTTTTATTGTCACTACATGAGGCTTTTATTTCAGCTTCTGACCTTAGTCTGTTATACTTACTTGAATTGTTTTAATTTTCTAGAATTCAGAGAGTGGAAATACCATTTCTCTGAAGCTTAAAGTGCTTATATATATGTATATAATCTAAGCCTAAGGAAAGCTTAGGAGATGGGAGACTGAAAGGAACTGCTCAAAGGAATTACCTTAATAAACCTTAAAATATAGACAACTTGGGGAATAAATTTGCTCTTAGTCATGTTTTATACTAAATAAATATTCTCTTACTACTCAAACCTGTAAATCTTGCTTGAACGGTTTCTGTTTGCTTTCACGTGTTTCCTCAATTCAACAGGTCTTAGCAGAAGTCACAGTAAGCGCTCAGGCTTCAGCCAAAATTAAAAATGAAGTACAGGAGGTAAAAGACAAGGCCCAAAAAATTGTGGATGAAATTGATACTGAAAAAGTCAAAGCTGAAACCAAACTCGAGGCCGCTAAACCTGCACTGGAAGAAGCGGAAGCAGCCCTGAACGTGAGCAGCGTGTTGCCGTCCCTCCCAACGCAAGTCCTAGCAGGCGTCGTGTTTCATTGCTTGAAATCAGCCGTGGAATTTTATAATCAGATATCTCAATTGCATTTTTGATGCGATTTATTAATCTTTGAGTCTGGAAACAAATGTTTCCATTGATTCTGTTTTCTAAGTTCTAATTTTTTAAAGTCTTTACTTGTCATATCACACATTTTATTGCATAAAAATCAGCCTTCCATCAGAACTGGGAAATAATGCTGGTGATTAATGGTCTAAACAGAGCAGGAACTCAGATTACATAGAGAGCTCCTCATTTCCTCCAGCATCCCCTCCAGATTATGTCACGCCCCCTTTTAAAATCTTCCAGTGGTTCCCACTGCTCTTGGGATAAAGTCCCAGGGAAAGCATCCACAGCCATGAGGCAGGTACATCTGCATTTGCCTCTCATGAACACCATTTCATATATATTTATATATATATATGTATATATATGATCTAGAGTAAATTTACTTAATTTTCTTGAGTCTCCATGGGGATTATAATTTCTTGTTGATGCTTAAAGGATAAATGTAATCATTAAAAGTAATTAATGCAATTTGCTGAACACATAGAAAGCACTGAATAAATTTCGGTGTTTCTGCTCCTGCCGATAACCTGCTCCTGTCTACCTCTTGAACTTTATCTGTTGTCATTCTGTCCCTACACACAATATGATCCAGTCTTACAGACACACCTCTAAGATTCTGGAAGAATCGTGGTCTGTCACCTTTAAATGTACCTGTCCCTTTGCTAGGAACCTAACCTTCATTGCCTAATAAGAGTCATTCTTCAAATCTTGGCTGAAGGCCTCACTCCTTCCAGAAAGTTTTCAGTTCTTCTTCTGGATTCTTCTTTGTTTTCCTATCCCTCGTATGTTTCCATTGTGGCAGAAATCCTAGTGTAGGGTGATTATGTTTTCTCTGCCTTCCTCTGGAGGTTATGAGGACAAGCCTGCTTTTGTTTGTTTGTTTTGTTTTATATGGGAGAATGCCTGCAGTTGTTGAATGAATGAATAAATCTATGATAATCATTTAATACATTTTTCACAATGACCAGGACACATTCTCCACCCCCACTGCCTTTAGAGGTTCCACAATAACATGCAAAAGGGTAAGATCACTCAACCAAAGAAACCTTAGGACGTTTTATTGGTATGGTCTCCCAGTGATTCTTGCCTTGAGTGTCAGGCAATATCTTAGTCCAAACCCAGCCCATGGATAGAAACTTTTAAAATTATTTTCAAGAGCCACATGTTACAATAACTTCTTTTGTCTCCTAATTCCTTCCCTTTGATAGACAGGGCAGCCCCCAAAATGAAGACTGAAGGTGACGTTTCTGATACTCAGGGCTTTGTCTCCTCTCTTAATATCCACACGTAACATAGACCCTGTACTTTGAAGACACAAGTTATCTAAGTGTTACATATTAATGGAGGTCTGGGGGTGTGGGCAATGGATGCTGGTGATATTTTAAACCATTTAGTTGGGGGCAACAGGGAAAAAAGAATGAAAACAGACAGAAATCCCAAAATAACAATAAAGCAACCACTGTGCAAAAATCTTGTAATTCAGACCCTTGAGGAGATAAAGTCAAGAACTGAGGAAAAAATATGTTTTAAAGTTTTCTACCTTAATTGTTTAAAAGAGCTTTTCATATAACTGTTAATACTACTCAATAAAAAATGTATTGATTCCTAATCCCAAATGCAGACCATCAAACCAAATGATATTGCTACAGTCAGGAAGCTTGCAAAACCACCGCATCTCATTATGAGAATCATGGATTGTGTTCTGTTACTATTTCAAAAGAAAATTGACCCTGTTACTATGGATCCAGAGAAACCTTGCTGCAAGCCATCGTGGGGAGAGTCATTAAAGGTGAGTAGAATCTATCTTTGTAAGTCTTAGGAGGTGCAGCAGGTGTCCCTAGCCAGTACACTCAATATAGACCGGACAAACTGGCAGATAGTAATTGATCACTGTGTATTGACAAGTTTATCTCAAACTCCATCACGCAAAACGTAAGTGGGGGCAGATTTTAAAGTCAAATGCCTTCTTTTTATGCAATCTGTCCAGAACCAGTGGCTAGTATTGGCGCGGCCTAGGTGGTGTCAGTCCAATCCAGTCTTCAAAAGGGTCCCTGTGTGGTTCGAGGCATTCCGGTGCACTTGCAAAACAGGAAACCCGCATCACTTTTCTTCTTCGCTCTTTCACTATGGAAACCAAAAGATAATTTGCCATTTACAGATTTAGGTTGACTACTACCAATAGTCTTTATTTGTATAGTTAGAGCAAATCCACTGTTACTTTGAAAAAATTCAATTTAGAAGTGCATGCTAACTAACTTAGGAAGAAGCTATCTGTTCTGCCCCAGAACTTATCGGGCTGTGATACTATTTTTCAGCTGATGAGTGCAACAGGATTCCTGTGGAGCCTTCAGCAGTTCCCCAAGGACACGATAAACGAAGAGACTGTGGAGTTACTCCAGCCGTATTTTAATATGGACGATTACAGTTTCGACAGTGCCAAAAAAGTCTGTGGCAATGTGGCTGGTCTGCTGTCCTGGACACTTGCTATGGCCACATTTTATGGCATCAATAGGGAAGTGTTGCCTCTGAAGGTAAAAGTTTCCCTCCTTCTCCCAATAAATCAGTGTTTAATAAAATCAGTCATCCGTATAACTGCTATTAAGAGACAAAGCATAATTTAGGCTAATAAAGGTAGATGTCCCTGTTACCAAATTTTTCTTCTGTCCCTATGTCCTCTCAAAGTTTCTCGTTCTTTTTATATCCATTACATCTTTCCTGGCAATGTGACAAGAAACTGAAAACAACTTTTTAACTTAAACAGGAAGTGAATTTATTGGGAATAATAATAGAGTTATATAAAAGAAAACTTTGTATTTCTTTAAAGTTCGCAGATTGATTACTATATTCTAAGCTGAACTTATAAAAAATAGGATCAACACCTGGAAATGTTCTAAATTTCAAAGACAGAAAGAGAACTTTATATGCAATCTAAAAAACAACAAAATTTAAACAGTTCCTATAAAAGAAGAGAAGTCGGGGTGTTGCAGACTCCCCACAACCATAAATGGTAGAAGATAATGGAAAAACACATGCAGAGTTTTGAGGAGGAAATTGCTGTGGTTCAAGAATTCAACAATGGTGCTCTTCATGGATGAGGGAAAAAAAGGACATTGTTAAGGCTGCAACTTAAATACTGTGCAGTACATACACAAACACACACGAACACACACCCACACACCCTCATCTGTATCCACCTAGGCTGCCCTTCATGTCTGAGAGAATGAAAAGACATTCTTAGGAGTGCAAGGTTCATAAAATACACCACCCAGATACACACTACCCCTAGGGCCCTCCCCCAACCCCCGCACCCCCAGACCAAGCTAAAACTGTTGTAAGTGGTTGCTCCGTGGAGTGGAAAATGATGAGTTGGTGGGCAGGGGTTACTATTTTTCACAATAAGCCTCATAGAAATGGCTGCCTCTTTAAACTCTGTGCACAGGTAACTTTGAGAAAAATAGAAAATAAATCTAAAGTATAAAAGTTTTAACAAAAAAAATGATAGGAAAATATAGTAAATACATCCCACCCAAACAGAATGATACCAAGGAAGAAATGTTACTGTAAATATAGAATTCAAGGAAAAAAGCACGTGACAGCATAGCCATTTTTTATTGATAAAAATTATGGTCTATAGTGAAGACAATTGTAATAATGCTTTATACAATAAATAAAATAATATCAAATTATATAAAGCAAAATCTAATGGTATTGTAAGTGGAAATTAACAAAAATAATATTGTAATTTGAGACTGTGGCACACACCATCAGCCTCTGCCAGGTCTGGTAGACGTAGCACCAGCTTCACAGGTGTGCCCACAGGGCACCATGTTTAGAAGGGCCCACACTGGGTTTAATGCTCTGTTCTTGCCCTCTTGACATTCTTAGTAATTTTTTAACAAGGGCCCCCATGTTTTAATTTTGCACCATGCCCTGCAACTTATGGAGCAAGTCCTGAGTAGGCATAAATTAATAATTTTATAGAAATTCTATACAATATTATTTTTCAGGTTGAGTAGCTACATTGAACTTTATTCAGGATAAGCAAAGAATATGAAATTATGTCTAAAGTCCAAGAAACATTTACAAAAATTTATTCTATTCAATGCTAAAACAAGACCTTGATTAAATTTCCAAAAACAAAAATTCCTGGGGCCTCATTCTCTAATTATAAGTAATAAAATTGGAAATTTTACATTTTAAAAAAGCCAGTCACTTCTATTTAGGAAATGATGAAAATAATCTAATTATCAAAGCTTTGTAATGTGACCAAAATGGTACTTTCTTAGCCCTTAAATACATCAAAGAAACTAAACATTCCACTTAAATGTTAAAGAACATAGCCACTCACAAGCACACATACAACAAAATTTAAGGAAAGCACAACAAAGCTAATAAAAATAACATGAAAACTCAGAGACGAGAAAAGCAGCAGAATTCACAAGTAAATCTAAGAACTGGTGCTTTGCAAAAATAAGCTGTAAGAGATATGTTCCTACAAAATCTAATGAAGAAGAAAATGCACAAAAACAAATGAGAATAGAAGATAAAGCCACATAATCATAGAGGTGTAGATTTAAATAATTAAAAAGAAAATTTTACACAGCTACATGTAAATACATTAAAAATCTAAACGAAATGAAAGTTTTCTGTGAAAAAGACTAAATTCAAATAAATATTGAGAAAGAAAATGAGAACATTATCGAAGAACTTTTACTCCAGAAGGCTCTGGGCCTAGATTAATTTGCTTATTAATTATTAATTAACTTTGCTGATTAATTATTTTAAATGGACAAGAAACAGGTATTACCATATCGTAGAACTTAGAAAAATATGAAAAACTACTGTTCCAGTAATTTCACTTCAAAGAGTCTTTACCAAAGAAACAATGCCAAATGTTTGCATATCCAATAGTATTTCCCGTAGCGTTATTTATAAGAATTAAAAATGGGAGGAGGGGAAGAAATGTATAAAAATTAGAAAAAGGTTAAGTAAATTACGATTCATTCAAATTATGGAGTATCGTGCAGCTGTACAACTAATGTTCATGAAAAAATGTTTAAGGACGTGCGAAAATGTTTATACAAGTACTACATCAAATGAAAAAAAATCAAAATACCAACTGCTGACTTCTTAAAACAATATTCACAGGTTTTCTCTGAGTAAAATCATGGGTAATGTTTGTTCTCCTTCCTATACATTGCTGCATTTTCCATGGTTTCCACATTGAACATTAGTAATTACAAGAAAAAAAAAGTAATGAAATATCCATCCCCAAGACCTTCTGTTTCCCTGGCTGAGAACACTGAAACAGATGACCCACAAAGTACCATCAAGTGCAAAAATTATGTAACGTGTGTGGATACTTACCAGTTACAGTCACAAATGTTTTGTGGAACTAGCACACTCATCACCTCTTCTTCCTCTGAAGGCTAACCTGGCCAAGCAGGAGGGCCGCTTGGCAGTTGCCAATACTGAGCTGGGGAAGGCACAGGCACTGCTGGACGAGAAGCAAGCCGAGCTGGATAAAGTACAGGCCAAATTTGATGCAGCAATGAATGAGAAAATGGTGAGATTGAATACACAAATTTACCAAGATGATGTGCTGAAACTTTACACACGTATGTGTTGTATTTAGAAACTGGGCAAATGTCTATAATGCAAAAATACTCACTAGAATTCGCTTGTTCACTCGCTGAGTCTACCTGTTTTGGATCAAAATTCTTTTTAGCGTTTTTACTAATCAAGTATCTATAAGAGTAATCTGTGATGTCATTTAAAGAGCATTGATTTTGGAGTTAGAAAAGTGGGTTCAAGATCCGGCTCAGGCACTTAGTAGCTGTGCAGTTTGAGGCAATTCACCAGGCTCCATCTATTAAAGGAGGAACCTAATGTGACCTCGTGGGGTAGGTTATAAGCAACGGTGGCTTAGTGAACGTTCAACAGTCTTCTGCGGGGCGCGGGGGGAAGGTGATGGTGGGCAGGGGGGATGGAGAGGAAGACCCTGATTTGTAGTATTTGCTGATTTCTGTAGTATTTCCACTACTGCCAACTTTAAACCGCCAATGTAACGTCACTGAGCACAGGTTTGGAAAAAGAAGCACAGCGGTAGCTTGCTATTATGTACGGCTTCCACCGTGCACACACAGTGGACTCAACCTCAAGAGCACAGATGATATTTAAATGTAAATAATTAGGAAGTGATGAGTTTTTATTTATTAGCTTTGCCTTTAATATAATTTGTTTGATTTTAAGTTTATATAATTTAATATTTAATAAAGCCTGTGTTTAAAGCCAGCTCACAGATATTCTGACAATTTAACAGTTGGCTCTTTTCAGCTGGTTCGAGCTGGCTGCGGCACACTACTGTCATCCGGAATTTTTTCCGGAGAAAGTATTTTGTAAACAGCAAAGAATTCAGGATTATTATTAAACCCAAGACTTTAAAATGGTATATTCTCTTGATTTGATTCTGTTTTGAAAATATTTAATAGGAACACTATTTTAATTTGTGTGATTTGGATTCTCTGTTACAAAATTGCTTTTCTTGAAATTTTGTAAAGTAAAATCCCGTGAATGAAAGATCAGAATGTAATATGTAAAGTTTCACTTACACTGTAATTTTAGATTATATTTATTTTGCAAATTAAGAAATTCCTCCATGTATTTGTATGTGTGAATATAATGGATGCTCGAGTAAGCACTTTAAAAAGTTCTTTGAGACATTCTCCCATCACGAATGCAGGACTTGCTTAATGATGCCGACACGTGCCGGAAGAAGATGCAGGCGGCGTCCACGCTCATCGATGGGCTGAGTGGGGAGAAAGTCCGGTGGACCCAGCAAAGTAAAGAGTTCAAAGCTCAGATTAATAGGTATGAATTTTGGTCTTTGTTACAACCGCTCTCCTTCCTCATGGTGTTAGAGAACGTAAAATCCACTTCCATGGTGGATGGTTTTCTCCTTCGTTCCCACGTGCCCATCTCTGGATCCCATCACCTAAGACAGTATTTACAGTTTAAATCCTGCACATTCAGTAACATGCTGTAGAGAGTGAAGAAGGTTTTGTGAAACATCGTAAATGTGTTTCACACTGAAACGGTACGTTTTCAATATGAGAGTGTCTCTGATATTGTTTGGATTTGCCAGAACAGTCTAGATACTCTAGTTCTCTACTCTTCACCTCAGTGATTTTGAAAGTGTGGCTCAGTGGTTGGTTTTAACTGCAAGGGTACCTTTTGCGAATGTCTGTTGCTGTCCTCAGAAAATTTAAAGGGAGAAGAATGAGAGAGCAATAGGAAAATGGCAAAAAAAAAAAAAAAAGAAAAAAGGGAGGGAAGAAAAAGTGGTTTAAATAGAAGACCGAAATCTGAACAGGACCGTGGTGTGGAGCAGGAAGAAGATACTTTCCTCAAGGTGCCAAGGCTCTGGGCCTGTAGCCTTCAGGAGGAAGCCTTCTTTCCTGCTCCCTGGCCCACCCACTTGTGGCCACTCTCACCTCCTTTTGGGTTTTTGGGCTCTTTTCAACATGGTCTTTGCGTGCCTGGCCATCAAGTGTTAAGCGGGGGCAAAGAAGGATTTCAGCAAGTACAAGACACAACCACACTGTGTCCTTTCAGACAACTTAATAATGGAAGCACCTGAAACGTGTGAGGGGACTCACTTTGGGGAGGGGCTTATGTGTTTTTTCTCAACAGACTTGTAGGTGATGTTCTGCTGTGCACAGGATTCCTTTCCTACCTTGGTCCTTTCAACCAGATATTCAGGAACTATCTGCTTAAAGATCAATGGGAGATAGAATTGAGAGCACGGAAAATTCCTTTCACTGAAAACCTGAACCTTATTTCAATGTTGGTGGATCCTCCAACTGTAAGTTTACTTTTCCAATATTATTCCAATTTCAATCTCGTTGTATTTCTTACCAAGAAGTCAAAGTATGCCTGATTTTTTCTTATTTTCATGTAGTTGAAAAGATCCTTCTGAACGTGCTTATGAGTTATTTAAAAATGAATTTTCCGTGTGGCATAAAAGTTCCTTTGCATTTTAAGAACTCGCTCTTCCAAATTCAAATCAGCTGCGTTGCTGCGAACTGAAAGATCGTTCATGAATTATAGGCCTGTTAACGCTGAGCTCGCCATGTAACTCTCTGTTACTTACACCACGCCTATTAGGTCTCTCTCCTTCAAACATTTTAGGCAAATGTCGGCATTATCTAAGCTATAAGTGCTGGTATTAACCTTATTTTTATCATTCACTATGTTTTCTAATGTCCAAGAGCATAATGCAATAGCGTGTCCTGGCGTCACGGAGGAACAGCGTGTCCTCCCGCACTCACCTTCCTTGCTGGAAATTTGACGCCACTGTCAATTTCCAGTGTATCTTGCTGAGCTCCTGTGGTAACAAACGCTTTCCAGGTCATTTGTATTCATGAGTTGCTCTCCTGATTTGCAAATCTGCTTTCTAGTTGCTGTTTCCTCAGGGAATGCCAGGTTATTAATTTCATGTTATCTGTATTTAAAAGTTAAAATATAATCTTTTCCAATTCAAACGACATTGAACTTGCCCTTACAGGGACTAGATTATGTGTTGAAGATGTACTGAACACTGGTGAGGCAAAGTGGGCCGGGATAGTCTTTATTAATTGTGGCCTTTGGAGGTCTTGGGATCATTTAACGAAGGTGGAGGCTGGCCGGCTCATTGGCTCTCCAGTGATTTTACTGACCACGTGGGGAGGGAGGCTGGCAATCCCCTCTAAATTTGGAGAAATAAATATTCACAAGGTGTCATCCATGAGCTCCTGCCAATACAGTATCTCCCCTCATCTAATTTCCCTCCAGCCCGTGCACCACGTGGGCAGAACCAAAGGGCAGGAGGGGGAGTTGTCAGGGGCTTATCCTTGGGACTTACCTTCTTCTCTGACATCTCATTATAGTCATTATCTTCACTAACCCCAGATCAGGTTTAATATGCAATCAATTTACATTTCCCCTAAGTGTGAAAGTATAAAGGGATAAACCCAGTTTGGGGTCATTAAAGAAAGGGTTCATTAGATTATAAATTTGCTCTTTAAAGTGAGTGTTACTTGGTTCACATTTACAAATTTGCCTTTTTCTAAGTACCAGTTACATAGTCTCAAAGGAAAAACATATTTCCAAATTTTAAATTATTTTACATTGTGGAACTTTTAATTACTAACGAAAGCATTCCTGGTCTCCTTCAAATGACCGTATCCATTTCCTGTTCAGATTGGTGAGTGGGGGCTGCAGGGACTGCCAGGAGATGATCTCTCAATTCAGAATGGCATCATTGTGACAAAGGCCACCAGGTACCCACTGCTCATAGACCCACAAACTCAAGGCAAGACTTGGATCAAATCAAAGGAAAAAGAGAATGATTTGCAGGTATGTGGCATTTGGCGCATGGGATAGTCATCCTGAAATCATGAAAAATTTTGAAAATTTCGGTTGAATCTGCCAGTTATAAACTTGTCTCTATGATAAATGTTTGCTAATTTACACTCTTGAATTTTGTAACAGCGATTCTGGATGACAGCTCTGATTATTTTCTCTCTTTCGTACTCTCTCTTGATCTCCCTCTCCCTCTCTCTGTCCATTTCCCTGGCTTGATTGCTTTTGTAGATGTTAAATGTGGCTCTTGTTCTGGGCCTTGGGTTTGAGCTTACAGAAAAGTGGCAAAAATAGAATGTTGTGATCCTTTAGTTCAAGGCCATTCCCACTAACTTTGCTCAGGGTCTTGATACTACTACTATGTAGTATATAGAGGCCAGCTTTGGGGCTGGAGTGTAATAAGGTGTTGATTTTAAGGTAGGGATAGACAGGCATAGGATTCCAATGTTCCTGACTCCTTTGAGAATCTTGTTACTGTAGATATTTTAATTCAACTACCAATATTCAGTGTTTCCTAGACACCACTCCCAGTTCTAAGCCTCCTGCCTCCATCTTTTTGCTTACATTATTTCTACTAACCAAAATGTCTTTCTCCGCCTTACTGGCCACTCCACGTACATCTCAGATAAAAATCTTAAATATTCTTAAAAGTTCACATCCAACACTGCCTTCATTAAGACTTTTCTTTGTACCTGGCTTAATAAACCCTGTCCTGAATCCTAACAATATCTTGTTTGTACTTGTGTTGTGGACTTAGAGTCTGTCTTGAATTATTGTTCTTTGTATATTCATCTTTTATCTCTACCATACCATAAACTTCTTGTTGGCCAGGTTTATGGTTTTACCCATCATTATCTTGCTCTGTTGCCCAGGCTGGAGTGCAGTGGCACGACCATAACTCACTGCAGCTTCCAACTCCTGGGCTCAAGCAATCCTCCTGGCTCAGCCTCCTGAGTAGCTGGGACCACAGGCACATGCCACCATGCCCAGCTAATTTTTTTATTTTTTGTAGGGACAGGGTCTTGCTATAACATCCAGGTCGGTCTGGAGCTCCTGGCCTCAAGAGCACCTCCTATGTCAGCCTCCCAAAGTGCTAGGATTAGAGGCATGAGCCACCGCACCTGGCCCATCTTTACATTTTCTGCATAGCTCTTTGAGAGTAGCAATTCTGATATTTATAAGAATCTGAGTGAATTAATCAAATTGTATCATGATTATAGGAAAAAAACCCAGGAAAATCATGTGGTCATCTTAATAAATACAGAAAAAAACCACTTGGTAAAATTCAATACCCATTCATGATAAAACTTCCAACAAACTAAGAACAGGAGGGATCCTCCTTTACTGGATAAAGAGTTTTAACAAAAAGCCTACAACATGTATCGTATTTCTTGGTGAAATATGAAAGATTTCCTCCTGAGATCAGGGCTAGGTGGACACGGGCCAGTGGTCAGAAGCATACCTAAGGTACGCACCCCACAGATACTCCAGACACAATACATCAGTAGGTGTTTACTAAGAAAGCCTAGAGAATCCCTGAAATGGACAGAGAGTGTAAATGGAGGGGAAGAATTAAGGGAAATGGTCTCTAATTCCACAAAGCTTCTTAGGACCCACACTCTTAAAAGGAGCGCACAAATGTGGTATCCCAAGACACCCCTGTCCCTGAACCGCACTTCCAGCTTGACTGTAACTTGTCCCTGGCTCCATCCCTTGACTCCCCTGGCTGTTGTTCTCCCTGCTCTTCTTATTCTTGTGTCCTTGCCTGGACATCCTTAGCTCAGAGCATGCACCCGTATCACTTGGCTGTGAATGCCACTGTTTTTCCTGATCATGGCTTTTTCTCTCCATTTCAGCATTAAATTCACTGACAGTCTTCAGTAATCTCCTTCCTGATACAACCCAGTCCCAGGAACCTTCTTGTGGAAGTAAGAAAAATACTTCCTGAGACACTTCCTTATTTTGAAAACCATCTGCTGCTGGGATGTAAACAGATTGAATGGCAGTCTCCTTACTCAGGAAACATTATTCCCTGAGTACATGGATAAGCACATGTACAAACACACATAAAGGAAAAACAATAGTTTATATGTCTGCGGCTGTGCTTGCCCTTGGCAGCATTGCCAAGGCCACCTTCAGTGCCGTCTCCAGGATCTATAGCTCTGACTTCTGGAAAGAGAATGTATTTACCAGGTCTCTCTATCAGAAATTCACTGACTGCCTTGTAAACACTTAACAATAGAGTGTTTGTGCAGATGAACCAAGCTCTGGTGGTGGATACCACATAGTGTTTCTATACAAGAGAAAACCAAGGGAATTAAACCTGAATTTATGACTTTGAGATATTATTTCAAGTTTATAAAAGATATCGAAGATGGTTATAAAGACAACCTTAAATAAACTGACAATTGAAAAATTATCTCTTGGGAAAGAAATCACAAAAATAGAGTTTGCCCCTTGGGAAACAGAGCAGGACATAAGCAAATTGAGTCTTGTTGGGGCCTTGTTTCATCTTGTTTAATGAGCTGGTGAAAGCCCTTTGTTTAGATCCATTTACCTATCAGCTCATAGGAAGGCCTTTACAGCACGGCGTTTGTATAATAAGGAAAGCTATCCATCCAGGGAAACTTTCTTCCAGTGCATTTTAAAATTTTAATTTTTCCTTTTTAATGAAGAAAGGACACAAGTAGACTTATTTAATTTTTCAATTCCACATCTTTTCTTCAAAGAAAAAAACATTATGTATATATTTCATTTCACTCTCCTAATCATCTGGTGTCCTGGCGGGTCTTCCTTGTGTCTTACGGTCTGCAGCGGCAACGGCATAAAGGCAATAGTTGAATTCAGAGACTGGAATACTTGTTTTTTGAAAATGTAAGGATATATATATATATAAAATCTTTCTATATCCTTACAGTCTATTAGGTTGACTTTCTGAAAAGTATCATATCCTTGCCTGTGCCTCTAGGAGACAGAATTCATGGATGGACCCTTGGTTTGACTCAATATATCATTTCTGACATCCTCTGTTTTTTTTTTTTTTTTTAAATCACCTATTTATCTTGTAGGGTCCTGAGAAGATAAATGAATATCCAAATATGCAAGTTACTTTGCTTTCTCTGAGTAATTATAGCTATGCAAGTTTAAAAGGATTAATCCTTCACTATTTCTCTTCCATCTGTCAGGAGTGAAGCTCTGCAGTTCCATCTAAGTAAGGAACCTGATTCTCCTCTTTTAATCAGAGAGACCCCTTTACACAGTCAGGGCTTGAACAAAGTCGTGACTCCCCAAGTTTTGAAAATTAATTTATGTTTATCACTTTTATTTTTATAAGTAAGCCTTCCTATATTGCCCTTAAAATTTTTAGTCACCTGTCTGACAGATCTCTTGGTTTCACTTAGGAATGGGAACACTCAGGGTGACATTTATAGACTCATGAACTCTTTCTTTTCAGGTGACAACTCTGAACCATAAATATTTCCGCACACACTTGGAGGACAGCCTTTCCTTAGGCCGGCCCCTTCTCATTGAGGACATTCGTGAAGAGCTGGATCCAGCCTTGGATAATGTATTAGAAAAGAATTTCATCAAGTCAGGTACCACATTCAAGGTGAGCTTTGTAAAAAAAAAAAAGAAGAAGAAGAAGAAGAAGGAAACAAAAGAACAATAGTGACATCTACTTATCTTTTTGAGCATAGCAGCAAAGGCAGTTTCCTTCAGGTGGTGGTATTTGGTCACTGGAAGAAAGATTATTTCCAAACTGAAATTCAGTATTTCCTTTTGTTTTTTATAGTATATAAAAAATGTAGGAGAGAACAGTATCTTGGTAAGAGTAGTCATCTAGCTGGAACTTAGTAACATATTATGGAAACACATTGGTCTTAATAACAATATGTTAGTTTAACACAAAAAATATATATATTTTAGCAACTCTGAGAAAATTGATTTTGCAGGCATATACGTATACATTTTTATAAGAAAATCTAGATTTCCTCACTGGAGAAAATGGCACTTTAATAAAGTCTATAGGCATTGATTTTTTTTATTTCTCTCTTTATTAACTTTCAGTCTAAACTCATTGACTTTGCTGGAAGCTATGGAATACTGTTCCCAATTGTTGGTGATAGCACGAATTGTTTTCAATACATATAAATGTTTCTTTTTTAATTGGTGTCATTCTCTACCTTCAGGCTTCTTCGGTTTTATTTCTTGACGAAGAACAGCATTTCCGATTGCATTTTTTCACTTCGAACAACTTAATTTCGTGAATATCAGTGAATAAGTAAAGAATGAAAATTTTCCCATTAACAGAGACAGATTTTATTTAGAAAAATGTTCTTCATGATGTGAACTCTTCTATATATCATATTTTTAAAATTCATCCAGCAAAAGTTTATGGAGCAGCTACTCTATGCTTAAGCCTGTACAAGTTCATGAGGGGAAAAATGAATATAACTCAGTCAGTGTTCTGAAGAGTTAGCACTATTCTCCTATGATATTAGAAAGTAGAATTTCTCTTTTTCAGACAAGGAAGCTAAGAACACAATTTTGGTGATTTGTTTGGATGTTATGGACTCACCCATAATTTTGAACTGAATTTTAAAAAATATTTAATTGACAAAGATGATATATGTTTAAAGTGTACAACGTGATGATTTGATATACGTATACATTGTGTAGTGATTACCACAATCAGATCAAGTAGCACATCTATCACCACTAATGCTCTACCTTAGGTACCCAGAGCTTGTTCATCTTGTAACTGAAAGTTTGTACCCTGTGACCAGCATCTCCCCATTTCCCCCACCCTGTAAGGCCTGGTAACCACTGTCCTATTCTCTGCTTCTGAGTCTGACTTTTTTAGATTCCACATATGAGTAAGATTATACAGTATTGTCTGTGTCTGGCTTATTTTATATGCTATATTTAACATGCCAAAGGAGGCTATAGAATCTCCATTCCTGAAGGTCTTTTAAAAGACCCTAGATTCTTATCTGCAACATGAAGGCATAATGCCTGAGAATGTGGTAGTGGCCTTACTATTTTCAGTCACATGCAGGATTAATTAAAGCTTTAATTCATTAAAAATTCTATGATTGCTACCTAATTTTTAGACAGCAAAAACTAGTTGCTTTTCAATATACTGCAAATAGTGGTATTTAAGGTGCATGTTCTCTTTCTGGAAAAATAGTTGGCATTTTTCCTTTGAAAATTACATTAACTTTTTCTGTTGTCAGATATGCTCTAGATATGACTGTAAAATACTAAAAGAAATAAAACTTCCTATAAACACAGCTAATGTCCATAGTAGGAAACAATTTCCTAAACTGGGAAAAAAAAGAGCAGCTCCAGCACTACAACTGATGAGTGATAAGTACTTACTAAGATTTTAAAGTCAAATCTTAGATGCATCTGAGTTTTCCTTTATGCATCGTTTGTTTTGGATAAATTTTTCATTTGATTTGCTTGATATCATGGCTAAAAACCTCTTCAGTCAGAACCACAATTCTGAGTTATTCTAAATTGAATGGGCTTTATTATTTGAGCTCAGCAATTAAAATTTTACAACTTTCCTTCCCAGTTCATTCAAGTTTCGCAGTAGTGTCATTTGGTAAATTCTTTCCTAAACTGAACACAAATTCCTTGCCCTGTCCTTTTAAGCTGTTTTTAATTTTATATTTGAATTTATATAGGTGAAAGTTGGTGATAAGGAATGTGATATCATGGATACATTTAAACTTTATATTACTACAAAGTTACCAAACCCTGCCTTTACCCCTGAGATTAATGCCAAAACATCAGTGATTGATTTTACTGTTACT